GGGGGTATTGAGCACATTTCGTTTTATCAGATGTCGGCTTTGAAAATTCACCAAAAATCCAATTCTCGTGCTATCGTTATGAAACTCACATCGTTAGATAGGTATAATCGGTGGCTATTAGGTGTACTAGTTTCAAAAATAAGATACAAGTATGATTAAAATATACAGTATGATTTATTATTTTTTTTAATTTTTGATATTATATTGATAAATATTTGTGTATACCGCCATCAGTCACACCGTGTGTTAAAATATTGCTGCAGCCTTTCTTCATAATCCTTAATTTTCCTCTTTTGACACGCCAGTGGTCTACTTTTAATAATCTGTATCGGCGTAAATTTGCCGTTCGGAAATTGTGTTGTATATGGTAATATGGAATTTTCTTCATATTTATATTCGTACCTATCAAATCTTCCTAACGGGAATTTTATGAAAATATCATTTCCTTCTATTCTCGTAATGTATCCGGCCAAGTAGGGGTCTCCTTTTGTAAGCACATTCACACCCTCTCCTACCACAAACAAAGGGTCTCGCCGCATATCATTAGGCAACATTTTATGGTCTATATTTTCGACTTGCAAAAAATTGTCTTGCTCATCATTTATTTGTTGTTGAACGCATAAATTATCATCATGTACCATTCGTAGTCTCCTTGGAGGTGACACTTCTCGCGGTATATTATTAGGCAACGTATTATGGTCTATATTTTCGACTTGCAAAAAATTGTCTTGCTCATCATTTATTTGTTCTTGAACGCATAAATTAAAATCATGTACCTTTCGTCGTCTCCTTGGAGGTGACAATTCTGCACCATCCTCGCATATAGGACGGATTCGTGGATTATCAATAAACGTTTCTTTTGACGTGGGATGTGATGGACAATTGTACTTGGTAAATACGTGGTCCATATCAGCAAGTGTTTGTTCATCTGGCGTAAAGGCCTGCCCTTGAATAGATAGATACCATCGGTCCCGTTTCATGTTGTAAGCGTCAAAGTCATTTATCGTAAATTTGAAAGGCTTTAATTGTTGTTTTCCACCATCAGTATAAATTGCCTGAAACAAAACGTATGTGGTTTTAACCATACTGTTTAAAAATTAAATACTATTAGCATCATGAGCGGGCACTGGTCTTACTGCAAACATCATTTAATTTATTATTTTTTTTTTTTTTATATTGGATTGACCGTAATAATACATAATATTTATACTTGTACTGATATAGGTAGTCACTAGTATAGATAGTGCGGGGGAATCGTAAACCGGCATTAAATTTCATACTTAGCAGGCGGACGGCAGTCCTAGGTACTTGGGGATTTTTTCAATATAATTCTGAGATAGCTGAGATCCCCCCGAATCCAACCATACCACTTGCAGAGCTCTAAGTCCAAAACTCGACATACTACGACCGGCCAAAAACGAGTATCTACTATTAACGGAAAAACAGATATGTTCCAAAGGGGGGACCATTGTGCACATTTACAGCGGTACAGTATTTCCACTTTGGACCTTCACCAAAAATACAATTCTTGTATCACCTTTATAAATAGCATATCTATCGATTGGTATACACGTTGGCTATACGGTGGAAAAGTTTCAAAGTTAACAACTTAGAATTACGCCGTCCAGGACTTATAACTGAAAAAATGAAATTTTCTTATTTGCAACCCAGCGGTAAATCTCATACTTAGCTGCCGGACGGCCGATATTTGGATTTGTTGTTCTCAAAAACACTAAGGGATGATAGTGAAGGTAACGAGGAATGCACTCGTACCATTTTCATGACTCTAAGTCAAAATCCTGATTTTATGCGATTTTTTGAACTGGGCCATATCCGGCTTGCCTCTAGAATGCAATGCATCCTAGAGGTAAATTTTTAAACTTACCTCCCGGGCGCCCGTTATTTGGACTTGGGAATTTTTTCAATATAAAGCCCAGATAGCTGAGATCCCCCCGAATGCAACCATAGCACTTGCACAGTTCTAAGTGCAAAATTCGAATTGTAATCGGTATAGGACTTATAACTGAAGAAATATATGACTGCAATCATGTTATAAAAAGTACAAAAATATAAAATGTAGTAATCGGTCACCCATCCGATTACGTTACATTCACATAAAGAGTCACCGGACCCAGCTTGCTTGTAACATTCCGGGCCCTGCTATCCTGTAGTTCGGGGGTACCGATATAACAAATAACCATATATTTAAGTTTAATATTATAAATTGTAATCGGTATATTATTTTGATGAATTGGAGACTATTGTATATTCGGTTGGCAAGCTTGCATTGTCGTTCGTTATAACATTTATGATAGTCGATTACCTTCGGCTTGCAGTGTCTTATTCTCGAATTATACGTCTATTTTAAGGATTGCGCGTTGGAAACCCAAGGGGAAACCCAGTTGCATTCGGCTGTTGACGACTGCTTGGTACCCCGACCACCGCCTCGCCAATTGCACGCTGTAATCGGTGGTGGTTACTGTCGACGTTCGGGATTGCAATTCACTTTGCCTACGGCCGTTATTCGTGTAGGTATTTTTCAGTCCGCCTGCACTTGCATCACGAAGGTAATATAAATTATTAAATTGTACGCGCGCACACATCACTTAATTTATTTGCATTTACAATGATCGTACACGGCTTTTGCACACACGTTCTACCGCTGGGTTGTAATGCAAAATCATGGTAAATTCTAATTTTTTTTCCCGATCAAAAATACGCAATTTCCATGATTGATTTGTCTACCGGAGACCGACCACGTTTTTCGGATGTTATTTTATTATAATTTAGGGCCGTTATAATATTTTAGTGTTAATTTAAATTCATATTATAACGATATTAAAAGCATAATAATTTAAAGTATATTATCAAATTATTCATACGTCCAAGTACACATCTCAACTTTACCGCAACTTCATAACTTTTTTCTATATTTCATACTCTCAAGTCTGAACCTCGTGGTTTTATCCAAAAGCGCGCACACACTACTTAATTAATAATTCTTTTGCATTTATAAAAATCCGATTTCGCGTGCCGACCGAGCGCTGCAGTCGCGCGCTTTTTTCGCCGTCTTTTTCGAAAAATCGAGTTTTATCCCCCTCGCGGGCCTCGGGCGGGCCCGTTGGCGTTTTATTCGCGTTCCCCGATAGATTTGCAGTCGGCGCGCGGCCATACTTTTTCGTTATCGAGTCCCCCGGCAGACGAGTCGATGCGAGAGAGCGTGGCGTAGTCGCGATTTCGACAGTTATTCCGACTTTTTCGACTTTCGAGACGTTTTAAAACTTTCGGAGACGTCCGTCCTCCCCGTCGATGACGTATTCGCGTTCCCCGCTAAATTTGTAGTCGTACTTTAGTCCTACTTTTTCGTAAACGAGTCCCGGGGGGGAGCGGCGTCGCTTAAAGCCGAGTAGGTACCGAGTGGGTATGGAGTAGGTACCACATATATACAGGCATAAATAGATGCGTCTCGACGTTCGATTTTTTTCGCGTTTTTCGCGTTTTGATCTTTCGAAGGTGGCGGAGCCGGTTGTACGCTCGCCGACGCGGTCGAATTGCCCTTTCCGGAGCCCTTTGCGGACGCGGACACCGCGTTTGCTATTCGCGGGTACGGCGCCGCGCCTTAATATGCATATATCGTGGTAAATCTGTAAATTTTTCCCGTTTAAAAAATAGCGATTTAAATAATTGTTTTTTTTTACCTAAGGGCCGCGACAAAACCGCTCTGGAGTGTCGCGGCGCTTAGACCAACCACATTTTTCGGGTTTAATTTTTTTTATACCGTAAAGGCCCTTGATATTGTTTTAGTTTTTATTTATATTACCGAAACCATATTTAATGCAGAATTTACGTCTATTTTCAGTTTGTTTATAGGTACGTTACACATGAAAATGGCGAACACATCACGGAGGTAATATACATTATTAAATTGTATGCGCGCACACACCACTTAATTATTTGCATTTATAAAAATTTACATAATGATAATTCTTTTTTTTTCCTCCGGATAACGGTTACATTTTATTTAATATTTTATATGGTTAAAGTAATAATTTTGTATTAATTGAAATTACAGATTGAGTAAAGGCGAAGTTTTGTCGTACATCGATGATGCATGTACGGTGGAGATCATCGACCCCCGATTAGGTGTCACAACTCACAAAATGGGTCTTCACGGTGGCGATGACGTGTTCCCCCTGACCAGACCGGTGTTCAAGACTATTGAGGCAACCCATCGCAAATTTTATCAAACGTCAGTTTCTGCAGAGTCCAGAATAGAGTATAAACTTTGTGACTACCTACCTGACCTCGACAAATATTACTCAGTCATGGTGATGAGCAGAAGTTGCATAGACAAGAACACAGTGCTTCATGAAGTCAGTGGTCATCATTTTCCATTGGACCAAGACCTAATAGTACCAGGTACGTTGTTGTAACTTAACTTTTAATAGTATCGGTAATTAATTATTTAAATCTATTTTTGCTTTTCATTATAGGTGTAAACGACTTCTCTCTCATATATAGTGGGAGGAGTAAAAAAAGCATGCATGTCCTACTAGGACCAATATCATTTGTAAATCACAGTTGTCTACCCAATTGCAAATTTAAACCAAACGATGGCGGCAGAATATGTTTGGTTACATTAAAAAACATAATTCCAGGAGATGAGATAACGGTGTCATATAGCACAGAGTATTTCGGTGATGAGAATCACCAATGCTTGTGTGACCTGTGCTCTGAGGCCTTCAGTGTGGTCGAATACCGTAAGTTCAGTAGTAATTAATATAGATATTATTATGATTTATTTACTTAGTTTGTTTATCCTTAGTGTGCAATAAAGTGGTAACTGATTGTTTTGATTATATAGAAAGTGCTGGTGAGAATTATTTCCATAATTTTATTATAATAGTCATAAATTGTCTTTGTAAGCAAATTAAGTGTTATTTATTTCTAGTGTATGATGTTTCACGTGACACTGAAGAACTTCTACAGGCCGCAGATGTTTCCCTAAGCGTATTGCAAGGAAAAGGTTTGTATTCAAATAATCTTACTAACTAAATAATTGAGTTGTGGTAATACACTGTAAGTGTGAAAATATTAACACCCAAAAAATACTTTTGAATTAATATTAATTTATTTTAAATTTCTAGTTTATGATCATAGTGCTCATCATAGGGATGATGATGATGATGATAGTAGTAGTCATTATGAAAAAGAAGATGTGGCAGGAACTAGTAGGGTGGTGTTCCCAGCTGATCATGACGAAGAAAACGCAAACAAA